AGTTCGTTCTTGTTTACGTGTTTGTTCATTTGTATACAAAAAAATGTACGACGTTAAGCGTGGAGGAGAAAAGCAAGATTATTAATGCGGTAGATGAAGGCATTAAGAAAAAGGGCGACATCGCCAAAGAATTCGGCTTACCGCCAAACACCCTATCCACAATTTTAAAAAATAAGGTTAATTATGATTCTGCGAGTGGATTAGCCGGTCAATACTTCGAACCTCGATTAGTAAAAAAACTCGAATTTTTAAATTTCCCCCTGAAGTTCGAGTTCTCGAGAGTCGACTGTAGGATACAATATAATGAATTTGTCTTGCCACCGTATAACATTGTTTCTGGGGGTCCCACAAGGCTCAGTCCTTGGGCCAACATTTTTCAACGTATTTATAAATTCACTCCGTAGTCTTGATTGTAAAATGGCTATATGCACGATGATGATATAGCACTATACTGTTTGTTGTGGACTACTAATAAACTGAGTGGATATATCCGTAAGATCGTTAAATTTTGTCACAGATGGAAAACTTAGGCTAAATACTGCAAAGACCGAGGGAATTCTTTTTTACAAAATGATAATGGCCCTAGCTATTTTATTTTCCCTTGTACTAACTTTTTACACATGTGTATATAAATTTGTGTATTAAATAAATCCAACCTACAAACTATAGTAGTACACAATAAATATCATTTGGACAAGTTAATCGTTGTAATTCTGGTTCAAGATAACTTTTAACCGAACAAACTGCATCAACGATTGCCTGAATAGCACTAACAATAAGATAACCTACTTACTCCAGCAGAGCTTAAACGGCAATAATCCAATAACGAGAAGTTTTGTTAATCGAGTATTTAGTGTTTATTTTTTGATAGATATTTTTAAGATAAGAATGACCTAAAATTTCGTCTATACTCTAAGGAATTTTTAATAACAGTCATTCACCGCGATAAAAACCTTCAACTGCCAGATTGTCCTGACGATTGGAAGGCGTAAAGCCGTAGATAAGATTAGACGGGGTGGATTTGTTATTGTCTTTTGGCTTGTCACGTCACGAAATGTTTACTCAGTGAGACACAGTTCGGAGAAGGAAAAAGACCAGCGTAAACATTATTAAATGTTTCGTTAATTGTATCACATCGGATTGGAACGATAGTTAATTGATTATTTCTAGTTTGTTCACGTCCTACCTACTCCTTTTCTCTCTTTTTTCTTAACATGGATGTGTTTTGGGGACGGATGCACAAATTTTCTTTGCATGACCACAAGAAATGGATTATTAGGATACGTTAAGGATGGATTACGGTTAGGTTAGGTATGGTTGGTAATCTACCTTACTCTTTCTTTATTTCTTTCCCTTAATATCTCGCTCTCTCTCTCTCTCTCTCTCTCTCTCTCTCTCTCTCTCTCTCTCTCTCTCCACACGTCCACACAAATACAAACGTCGTACTAAACTGCTTAGTTAATTTATATTGTACATAAGTTTCTTTTTTCAATCATCGATTTTATCGACTGGAAATGCTAGGGCTAGTCTCGATAATAGTGATTATTCATTTTCATACACGGAGTGCCTCAAAACGCAAAATGTTCTTCACCCTCCCAGTCGGTCGACTGACGGGGCCCTTTCCCCTTTTTCGTCACGTGATTCATTAGATGAGGGTTCATAATGAAAGAGGCCCATCTCTACGGCCAAACAAGGGGCTATTTAGCCTTTTCCCCCCTAAACTAACTATACTGACTTTCAATGCCTATCAGTTTAATGATTCCTATGTCAAATTTGTCGTTATTTCCTTTTATTTTTTTATTAAATAGATGTCTCTTCCGTTCGAACGTTTTACTGTTTTTTACATAGGATTTGTCGTCGTTCCTCTCTGGAAGTAAAAAAGAGGCAGATTAGTTCACACTTATACTACAAGTACCAGAAATTTTTAGCTTTAAGGTTTTCTTATAAATTTCCCTCGGTGAGAACATCCGAAATATGTATTTAATAATTAGCGATTAACAACACACAAAAAAATTGTATAAATTGTTTATAAATAATAAATAAATTGTGTTCAAGCAATTTCAGATGTCAATAGACTCAGAGATTAAATAAAGAACAAGAGTGAATAGAGAAGAAAGAAAGGCCCTGATGAAGAGAACATTGTTGGAAGGCTTGTGATTATATTAAGTTAGACCTCGTATGAGGTCAGTAACCGTCGAAAGGGGTTAATAAATGGTGTACCCTCAGCCCTAGTGCGATCGTAAAATACTCACTTCAACTTACAAAAAAAAGTCCGCATTACCAGTCAGAGGTCGCCATGTCGCCATCTTCAGAATTTGAATATATGTTTAAAAACAAGACAGGTTCGAAATTCATCTGTTGATCAGTCTAAAGAAAATTTGGAAAACAATTATGACGAAGGCAAAACTTTGATTCAAAGGCCTCTTTTATCAAACAGTCAGCAGTAAACAATAAACGTCAATCACGGTGTTGTCAGCCTAAGGTTGAGTTAGAGTTAGGATTGGGGGGTTGTTAGATCCGGATTAGGGTTAAAGACTGGCTACGATAGATTGTATAAGACTAGAAAGAGGTTAGGTTAGGCTAGAGTTAGTATTGGTGTTAGGGTTAGGGACAGGTTTTGTTAGCATAGGTTTATTAGGCTAGGGTGTAATAAGGTTAGCATTAATTTTTCAATTGATTAATCTTTTTTTGTAAGGTTTTGGTTGAAATGAAAAAGTTAGTGCCACGAGCGGGATTCGAAGCAAAACCTTACATAAAAAGATTAATTAATTGAAAGAAGTAATTTGGTCAATAGACCACTAAATATAATGGAGTAAATATTAACGTTAGGGTTAGAGATAAGTGAAGTTAGGGTTGAGTTAGGTTAGGGTATAATAGCGTTAGGGACACGTTTGACTAGTTAGGGTTAAGTTAGGGTGTAATAGGATCCAAGACAGGATAGGTTAGGCTAGAGTTAGTATAAGAGTTAAAGTTAAAGAGAGGTTTGATAGGGGTTAAGGTGGTTAGGATAATCATCTATGATTCAAAGTTTTACCGTGAAGCTGAAAAAAAGATGTGAAGCGTAACATTGTTCGCGGTACGTAAAAAGGTCGATTACTTTTTACCTTTAAATCTATCTTTATTGCCTTTTACAGTACCTGTACGCCAGTTACTTTTAGGAAAAATTCTGCACTTTAGCCACCATTTCTAACAACCCTACAGAAATAAGTGCTGTTAGAAGTATATTACTATGAACTATGTACTACTTTTCAATTGACCTAGAATGTACATTTCATTATTTCTGGTGCTAAAAGGTGCAATGCTGATAGAATTGAATAATTAGACTCGTTTATTTGTTTGATATATGGGAAGAAACGTAATGTAGATTGTATAATTCGATTCCAACAGAATCTATCACAGTGGGCGTTCAAAATAGTAAAACATGTAGGGAAAGTGAGAACTGGTGTTTGCCAAAGGGGTTCTAACGGGCCTAAAGATAAGGGAAACGGCCGTAAAATAAGGCACATGTTTAGGTATTTTAGTACCTTCTTCCGGTTGAGGAAGGCTTATAAAATTTCTATCTGGAAAATTAAGCATCGTGGATATGACTAAAACATTGTAATTGTAATGTGCACAGCTTTATGTTTTTTTTTACGAGGGTTCGCAACAGCAGAGGTTATATAAACCCTAGAGGTGCCGGTGTGAAAAAAAAAAAACCTTTGTAAGTATATCGGGTTCGAATGCAAGGCCGCTAGATTCGAACCCGGGACCTTTACCTTTTAGTGATGAGCGCCGTGTCAACGTCTAAACCGTTGCGTCCACCGATGCGACGCCCCCAATGAGCTCTGCTAAAAATTGAATAGGGATATTGTCAATTTTATAGTAGTATTTTTATTTTATTTTTATTATAAATTGCATTAAAATTTATTAGAAATTATTATGTTTTTACCGAAGGAAAATGTAGTCAAGGGATTTTGAAAAACAACAAAATATAAGGTTTTAATTCCATAATTTTGTTTATTGGACCCAATAATTATTTTTATACCATGTATAATGTCCTCTTTTAGCTAAAATCTCTGTGCACCTGTTAGAAGAAATGAAGAAGTGCGAAGCAACAGTTGGTACGTTTTTTAAATACATTTTTTAATTTTCAATTAGTGTAGAAGTTATAGTGTAATATGTATTGCAAAAAAACAAAATTAAAATTCCAGAGACAATGGTATCTTCTTGGTATGCCTTTTCCCGCCAATTTGGTTCAGGCGCGTTTCGGTACTTCGGATCACAAAAGAGCATATGCTATACAACTGTACTGCAAAAGCTAGGAAAAGGCTATGATATTTTTCCAGCAAAATAGTCCTCGATATTATTACTCCTCATAGAATGAATCGTTTTCCTAACAATATGGTTGACAAAATATAGCATTTTTGCCTGTTAAAAGCCGAACAGTTGGTAAATTTGAAGTGTTCCTGATAAGCAGTAAAATGTTTTGGTGCAGAAATCGGTCTTCTGATGCGCGTGACTCGGTCAGTACTATTATAGTAAAATGACTTCATTTCACACAAACCGATTTCAGTTTCAAAGGGGGACAATTCCAGAGGAGACGGAGACTAAAGAGCATATCGTTTGATAACTACCAATCTGCTTGGTATGCCTTTCCTCGCCAATTTAGTTCAAACGTGTTTCGGTACTCCGGATCTTCATTTTTTGTGTGATTTCGCGAAACGCAATCATCTCACAAAAGAGCATATGTTTTACAACTGAACTGCAAAAGCGAGGAAAAAGCTATGGCTATTCGAGCAATTTAGACTTGGATTTTATACTCCTCATAGAATAAATCGTTTTGCTGATAATACAGTTGACAAAATACAGCATTTTTGTCTGTTAAAAGCCAAACATTTGTTTATTTTGAAGCGTTATTCATCAGTAGTGTGCCGATTGGACTGTGTGGATTGTGACTCAGACTGCTGCTTGCCGTAGTATTTTCAACTTCCGAGTTCAGGTTGGAGATTTTCACGTTTTTACGGTTTACGCTTCGGTTTTAGCCGGGTGGAGCAGCCTAGGCGGTGGCCGGGGCGCGCAAGCGGTCTCGTCATGACCTGTGGTGGGGGGTCCTGGCGGCCGTTTCCCCACCACGCCGTCCCACCGCTTCAGTCAGTAGTACACCGGAAAAGGGCGTAGACGAACTGCCTCTCGCTTCGGGTTTGTTTGTGTCATTTTGGTTCGTTTTGTTTTTTTTAAAGTGAGTTGAGGATGTCTTCGAAGACGACGAAAAAGACCGTGACGACGACCACGTCGGCGACGTCGAGGTCTTCGGCCTCGTCGAAGAAAAGCATGACGCCCACCCCGCAGTCGTCCCAGGGGCAGAACGTGAGCCCGCTAAGTCCCACCAGGTACAGCCGGCTTCACGAAAAAGAGGAATTGGCCAATTTGAACGACCGGCTCGCCTGCTACATAGACAGGGTACGTCACCTAGAGACGGAGAACTCCCGTCTCACCAGGGAGGTGCGTACATCCCAGGAGACCATCACCAGGGAAGTCACCAGCGTGAAATCCATGTACGAACACGAGCTTTCCGAGACAAGGAAACTCGTGGACGAACTCTCTAAAGAAAAGGCCAAGCTCGAAATTGACATCAAAAGGCTCTTCGAAGAAACTGAAGACCTCAAAAACAAGTGAGTACCATTTTCGCTCCAAATTCTTCCCGGTCCCTGCGCACGCACCCTCCAACCCGGTTAAAAACACTTATTATTTTTTTTAAATATATTTTTACTTTTCTTTAAACAATACTGAACCCCAGGCGTTCATGTTAAAAAGAAAACTAGTACGGAAAATTATTTTCTTAACCGCCATAATATTTTGACGATTAAGACAAAAAAAAACCCGCGTTGTTTTCGTCACGTGGATTTCGCTGGTAAAGAATTACATCATGTTTTATAAATAGAAGTCCACCCCCCTTTACCTACATAGCTACTAATAATTGCCGCGGTATGTCTCCGGCAGACACGGATTGACAACTCGACTTGGAAGCTATTTCTGACCGACCATTTCGTCAAAATTTTACGTTCTAACATGATTTAAGTGTTGTTTTTTTTGTTAAACTTGTTTGACCGTCGTCGAATTGGAAAGCATAGGCCGGGTGTGGTTTGTATACGGTGACTAGTACGAAGGGAGAAAGGCGTGGGTAAAGGCGTCCCTCACGTCTACTGGCATGGCATCCCTTTACGCAATCCTGCCTTCCAACGACCGTCCGTTTACAACTAACATTCCATTAAACACAAACGGTTAACTGAATTTTCCTTTTATATTAAAAAAAAACTCAAAAACTAAACCTGCCACAGATCGATTTTTTGTCTTTCTTTAGTGTATAAAAAATTTAAATTATGTCTCGCCCCCTTGTGGTTTATATTAAAATCTTATACTGTTCCTTTTAGTTTTATTTATGCCTTTTTATCCTCGTTTCACCGGATAACCTTTGAACGGGATGACCTCAATTTAAGACCATCAAGGAAATCAATAAAAGTTAATACATGAAGCTATTTTTCTTAGGTTAAATTATTTCCCTTTATCCGTTGAAAATATCGAAGAACTTTTTTTTTCTTCTTTTGAAGTAAAAACTTTTATTTAAAAAAAAAAATGGTTTTGTGCCTCAGAAGTATCAACCGGCCTTCCTCTTTTGAGTGTAAACCATCCTTTGAACCAATCGTAACCATCCTTTGAATTATCTCTTTCTCTCCTGTTCTGTTGCAAATGAACGTTTTTTCTCACTTTCTCATTAAAAAAAATCCCTGGTCTATACGAGCAAGCCTCACTTCGGCCTCGTCTCCCCGACCGGCCTTAAAATAGAAAACTGTTTATTTAGGTCATTCGGTTCCGTTGTTTCAATTCCCTTGACTTAGTTTTTCCCCGTGATCTTCGGAGACCACGTGGGGTTAAAAATATATATATATATATATTTTTTTTTTAAATGTAATCCCATATTATAAAGGCTAATATACTTTCATATTTTCCCTTGAAATTGTTTAAAAAATGTGTGTATAATACTGAAAAACTAAAGACAAATTTTTCTAACGAAATGGAACCAGCGAATCGATTTTTATAGTCTTTTTTTTTGTGTGACACGCCTTTTTTCCCGTTTAATGTTTGCAGACCACGCTGAGTGAATGTTTCGTGTTTGACGGCGGCAGCGACATCTATCGCTTATTCGTACCGGCCGTTGGTACTTGGTACTCGCCGCGTCCGTTGTATGATCGTGACCGATTCAAATCTTTCAAACCGGCTGCGTTCGCCCCCCACACCTGTATTTTTTCCTTCCTTTTCGTTTATATTATATATTTTAATTGACCTTTTTTTTTTAAGTATTAACCCTAGAAAGGCAGTGTCTTATCTCTTATTTTATTGCAAGGTTGGGTGCTAAAAACCCCTGCTGTTAAAAAAAAATTGATTTTTTAAATTCAATTTTGTTAGTAATTCAATGTAAAAATAAGGTGTTCAGCTGGGAAAAAAATAGTATTTAGAAGTCATAATTGACCTTATTATACACTGACAGGCAAAAAATTCCACCCACTTGTAATATAACTTGATTTGTATATATTTTTATATATTGATCAGTCACGTTTTTTAACGTTTAATAATTGAATCGTTGTCTTAAAAAAAAGTAAATTACTAAGGCAAATAAAAAAAATTAAAAAGTCGGGCAAATAAAATTTGTTTTACACTTTTAATTAACATTTCAATATCGCGTATTTCATCCTTTTTCCTTAATTACGCCTCGGCATACTTTCTACCAGTCTGGAAATGTCTTTGTCGGAGGTTAGCCCATTGTTCACGAAGAGACCTTTCAAGATCGTGGAGTGTATCAGGAAGTGATGGACGTGCTCTTATTCGTCTTTTGAGAGTATCCCATAAATGTTCGACGGGGTTCAAGTCTGGAGAACGGGCTGGCCAGGAAGACCCTGATGTTATGCTGTTGAAGTTGCGTTTGTTCTATATGAGAGTGCATTAGAATAGGATTTCATCGAGAATAGACAACGCATGATGTTCCAAAATTTCATCCACATAGCGAGTGGCCGATCAAAGACCCTCCACGAACAACAACCAACTCTGTGCGACTCTCCATTGAAATTCCCGCCCACACCATGACTTGAGCTACGTTGAAAAGGTTGGCTCTGGGAAAAATTAGAAGCTTCGTACCTTTCATTTCGCCTCCCCAACACTCTTTCACGCCCATCTGGAGATCGTAGAACAAATCTACACTCATCTGTAAAAAGTACAGCAGACCAGTTGTCCGCTGTGTTCTCGAGTAAATGCGAAACGTGCAACAATGTCCGTTCTTGTCAATTCTGGTCCTCTTACTGGGCGAAAAGTCATCAATTCATACTGATTTAATCTTCTTCGAGCAGACTCATCCAAAACTTTCTTAAAAGAGGCTGCCATTTTCACAGCTAAAGCATGTCTGTCGAGAACACAATGACTGAAAAATAAAAACATTCGTTTTCAGTAGTCATTGTTATTAGTTTTTTATTTATTTATTTTATTTATTCACCGTTTATATTTGTAATTATTACTTTTTATCGAAATTCGCCGCGGACCAGTTTGAGAAGGCCTTGTATTTGGTGAAATTGTTGTGACATGTGAATTTGTATCGTTTTTTCCCTCTCTCCCCTCTTTCCTTTCTCCCCTTCCTTTCTTTAAGAAAGTAGTGAATGGGGAATGTTGGGGTTTATTCATTGAGTTCAGTTACTGATATTTGAAAGGAAGTTAATATTATATAAAATGTGTAGAGATTAGTCTCACGATATCTGAATAATTATATAAAATTTATCGAAGTCGTGAGGAGCGGTCAGGAATGAAGTATTTTAGAAAAACACCTTTCTCATTTTTTTTTCTTTCAAAGGAAGTCGTGAATGGGGATTGTCTGGGTTTATTCAAAGAGTGCAGTTACCGGTCAGGAATAAAGCATTTTAGAAAAACTTTTTGCCGACGTTTCGACCCTTATTTGAGTCTTCTTCATGGCATAAAGTGTGTTGCTATTCTTGTAGTGTCACAATGGCTAAAATACTTGTCAATTTTACACAAAATCATTATAACCATTGTGGACCGAATAAAGGTAGAAAAAAAAGCGTTTTCTAAAATACTTTATTCCTGACCGCTCCTCACGACTTAACAAATTATAACAACCGTTCATTGAAAAACACATTGAAATACTTGAATATTGAACTAGACTAATGAAATCACAATGTGCAATGAGCACAGAAGTTCACATTAAGTGGCATTTCATGATGCATTGCATATGGGTCACTGACAGCTTCCACATACGGTTCTACCTTCCTGTGACAGAATGCACAGATGTCATATTTATCCAAAATTGGAGGATTTCTTGTAGTGTCATGTCTGTCTGTCATGTTGTGATCCATCGGACAGTATACCAATCATTGGGTTTTTCAATCCCTGGACTAGTCTGGAATTTCATGTAATTTTTGAAGCTTGAGGTTTTTTATTAGCATGTTACGAGCTGGGAGAAATTCCGCCTGTCCGAGGTCATCGAATTGTCAAAATTCAAACATTGGTTACTTATATTTTTTAATTTAATTTTTACAAATTCATAAAAAAACTTCTTAATAAAGATAAATACAGAATTGAAAATTCTTTTGGAATTAAATTCTATTAACGATTCTTGTTGGCAGTCCCAGGCGTGTCGAGCATATCTGATTAAATTTCAACAAGCTGCCTTTTGTTAATTACAGAAATATTTAAATGTAAACAACGAATCTCTGATAATTTGGTATATTCGGATAAAAAAAATTAACTATGCCCTCCTTTTTTCTGAACCGATTTTGAAATGGTTTTTTTTCTCCATTTTATAAAAGTGAATTCACTGGATGAATTTTTTTAAAAGAAATTTTAAAAAATTGTAATATTTGAAACTGTAGCTTTCGTTAACAAAAACACTGTTTCAATTTTATTTTCTAGGTTGAGTAATTTTTGAGAAAACCAAGGAGGGGCACTAGTTATTTATACACAGGGAATAAACATAGATTAGTATATTTGAAAGATTAGGCAATCAAAAACTACAGAAAATTCATGAAAAGTGACAACACCGAAGAGGCAGGCTAAATGGCAAAAAGTGTAGTGACAGACCAGCTACATGAAGATAAACAAACACTGAGCATCCATAACGACCATATTTATAAAACTTTAACTGAAATTAGTTTTAGTAATGGGGTAAAAAGGGTTATTTTGGCTGGGGGGGAATAAATAAGCGTGTAGAGTAAAACACTGGAAGTTGAAAACAAAGTGCATTTTGGTATTAAAAAAAAAGGTTAATTTGAAATGAAAACGGGTTAATTTTAAATTTTAAAAAAAGACACCAAAAATGGTGAAATAACAAAAAAAAGTTGAGACCAGCAAAGCGTGAATAAACGAATGATGACAATCAGTAATTACCAAATTTACAAGAATTTAACTGAAGTTACAATTTTATTAATGGCTGGATTGTTTGTATTATCACTAATTTTTAAATGTGACCTTTAAGGATTACCTCAAATGTCGTATAGTTGGATTTTAATATGCAACAAAAAGGCTACAAGAGGTTCGGAAAAAAACGTCTTTTTCCAAACCATTTGACTAGTGGTAATGTCAGATGCTATTGAATTTTTCAGGCCTAAAGTTAGCC